CAGTTCACCCTGTGGGTGTGTCATATCAAAACCATTTCCCACATCCCTGTATATTGTGTTCGTTAACATGCCCATCTAAGAGTTTTTGAAGTTACTGACACTTCCTGCAGACACCATCGATTGTGGAGGGGAGTTCCACATCCTTACAGCTCTGACAGTAAAGAACCCTTTATGCAGAACTTCATTGAGTGGCCTCGTGTCTTCCTATATCCCCTGAGACTGAATAGTTTTCTCCCTATGCCGGAATCACCACTGAGACATTTGTGTATATATATATCTATTAGCCTGATAGTCTCAGATTAGGTTCCTGCATTTGTTTTTCCCCTGGTGATCCTGCCAGTAACACACTTCCTGTCCTAGGTTGACAGCTCCCACTCATGGTACTATATCTGTGAAGGAGATTGTCACACTATAAAGGGACTGGAGAACCACCTTCCCCCCCCCTTCATAACATATGGGGAAGCATTCTGTAGCCCACAGAGAGAGCTGGGAACAATGTAACTGATACGGCAGAGGGCACAGGAAGTTACCAGCTTAAAAGATTTCTGACAGGATCAACAGACATTTGGTATAAGTAGGTGTGACTATTTAATTCATGGAACAGACTGTTAAAGAATTGTTTGCCCACCTATAAATTAGCGGCTATTGTCACCTTCAAAGTAGTTCCTTTGCGAAGCGTTCTGTGTCCTATTAAGTCATTGGGACGCGATGTTTGCATTGAAGTCAATGGAAGGGAGTGTGTGAACCCATGCGCCAGCACGCAATTTCTAGTCTCCATGGCGACCTGATGCCTGGGATTTGACGAGCCCTGTTTTAAAGCATGTTTTTAATTTTGCAGGGTGCTAAGTCAAGGGAATAAACACTTAATGTATGTAATGGTTTTGCACAGAGCAGCCCAAATCCTCCTCTTCTTGGGTCCCCTGCTGGTGCTCCTGGTTCCTCCCTCCTGCTTGCTCCTGAGCCGTTGCTCCGAGTGACCATTTATACACACCCCGTGGCTTGTCCCTGCCCCCTGCTATCTCCTCATTGGCTCACTGACTGTGATTCACAGTAGTGGAAGTCAATGGTTCCTGCTGCTGTCTCAGCCAATGTGAAGAGAGAGACCCTTGGGGACCTGAGGTTTTTAATGTTCATGTATCATGTGCAGGAGCATTGTCGTGGAGAATCCACTTATCAGGCCAGACTTCTGGTCTTTTCCTCCGAACAGATTCTTGTAACCTTGTCAGAATTTCGAAGTAAGAAAGTCGGTTGGCTGTTAAGCCATGTTCTATGAACCTATAGTGAAGCATCCCCATGTGATGAAAAAAAAAACCCCAAAAACAGACCAGCGTGGTTTTGAACTGAAAAACGAAACGTGTGCTTTCTTTGGGCAAGGTAAATTTTTTGTTTTCCACTGCAAGGTTTGGCCTTCGGATCACAGTGGAAATACCATGTTTCATCAGCGGTAATAACCCCAACAATAACCTCTGCATTCTTCCAAAGATTGGATGAAATTTGAAGATGTCCTTTCTGATCTTCTATCAAGGCACCATCTTTATGGAAATCTTTCTCATGACCAAATCCTCTGTTGGAACCTTCTGCAATGTTTTCCTATTCATGTTCAATTCTGCCATCATTCTCACACTCCGTCTTCAATCTGAGCGTACGAGGGTTCGCATTCTCTCCACATTTGCATCCATCCTTTGTGTTTTTGGCTGCCCGTTTATGTCATCATGAACATTTTCCCGCACCTCTTTAAACCGTCTATTCCATTCAGAAACACTTGTTGTAACAGAGCTGAAGTTTCTCTCGCACTTTTGCCAATTTTCATGCAAAATATGATATGAATCCACTGCTTCAGGTTCCTGTCACTCATTTCCCGCCAACAGTGTGACACTCGTGTTACTTCTACTGCTCCATACTCCACTGGCTTTCGGCCCATTCCAGTGTGAACGGCTGTGGGGCTCACCAACATAGTTCTACGCCATGGCCATTCCGGCAATTAAACGGTCATGCCTCGTATTTAGCCGACCAAAAGGGAAGAAATAAAAGAAGCTCATTATTTGTGCACTTTAAGGTGGCCATGCACTTGGCAATTTCAGCCACCAAGATCAGCAAATACGGTTGCAAGTAAATGCCAGAAGGTAAGCAACTCTACCATCTAAAGGTTCAGCCAACCACTAGAATTCAGTTCATTGTGAAGTGGAAACTGGGCAATAAATGGACAGCCTCAGTATGATTCATGGAAAAATTAAATTCCAATGGCATTGAAACAGGAAAAAAAAACTCCCGCAGTTTTGTTGAGCAATCTGTTTTTTTTCCATCGCGTTCTAAACACTTTAAGATGTCTGTGTGACCACCTTCCTGCTTAACCATGAACGCCTGGTTCAGCTGAGTCTTTATGTTTATACTTTGGAGAGGGGAGGACGAGGTGTCCATCAGCCGTCTATGAGAACACACACACAGACCTCTACTCCTCCTTACATTTATTTATTTATTACAGGTACTTATATAGCGCCGTCACTTTACATATATATTGTACATTCACATCAGTCCCTAACCCTCAAGAGGTGTACAATCTAAGGTCCCTAACCCTCAAGAGGTGCACAATCTAAGGTCCCTAACCCTCAAGAGGTGCACAATCTAAGGTCCCTAACCCTCAAGAGGTGTACAATCTAAGGTCCTTAACCCTCAAGGAGCGTACAATCTAAGGTTCCTAACCCTCAAGAGGTGTACAATCTAAGGTCCTTAACCCTCAAGGAGCGTACAATCTAAGGTTCCTAACCCTTAAAGGGCGTAAAATCAAAGGTCCCTAACCCTCAAAGGGCGTACAATCAAAGGTCCCTAACCCTCAAAGGGCGTACAATCAAAGGTCCCTAACCCTCAAAGGGCGTACAATCAAAGGTCCCTAACCCTCAAGGGGCGTACAATCTAAGGTCCCTAACCCTCAAAGGGCGTACAATCCAAGGTCCCTAACCCTCAAGGGGCGTACAATCTAAGGTCCCTAACTCACATTCATACATACACATACTAGGAACAATTTAGACAGGAGCCAATTCACCTACCAGCATGTCTTTGGAGTGTGGGAGGGAACTGGAGTACCCAGGGGAAACCCACACAGGCACAGGGAGAACATGCAAACTCCAGGCAGGTGGTTCTGTGGTTGGGATTCGAACCAATGACCCGAGTACTGCCAGGTGGAAGTGCTAACCATTTGGCCACTGTGCTGCTCAGCATTAAATGTAACCATCGTTCAACCATGCAGCACTAAACAGTAGTCACAGGCTACCCATTACACAGGAAAAAAGTAAAGTTGGTCAGTTTCCCCCTCTTACCAAAATATCATCAGTAAGATAATGTATGACCTATAAGTGCCCAAAGCATCCTATGTGTTCCCTCTGTCCTCCTACACCAATCCTGTCCCAGATTATACTACAATTTAGCATTACAGGGACGAAAGGGACCAGTGATGAACGTTGCCGCCTGTTTGGCCAGAAGGGGTTCTGCAGATGTAAGTCTGACTTAGGCCTGGTTCACACACGTGTGGCCGTGCTAGCCGCAACTTGTGCGGGCACGAGAGCCCATTCATTTGAATGGACTCCCATGCCCCGGGACACACAGGGAAAGTCCCTGCACTTCTTCCGAAAATTGCAGCCCACACGGGAACTGAGGTACCCAGTACAGTTGCGTTTACCAGTGTGGACGGTGTTCCATTAGAAATAATGGCTCCCTCCTGCGGGTGGTGTGGCTGCAAGTATTTGTGCGAGTCCCGCAGCAGTAGCACCACCCGCACAGATGTGAACCAAGCGTTACAGTTGCCTGCTGGCCTTCTTCTATATGGGGTCATCACTGGACACTGAGTCAGCTGTTGGTGGTTTCATCGAGACAGTAGACTCCTGAAGTCGAGCATTTAGTGGTCATCTATGACTTCTTGTTTAAAGCATTGATGTGCAACTTTTGCTGTCTCTCAAGGGGTTATGAAGATCCGTTGACCCAGAATAAACCAGATCCTACATTTTTCCAACCACACAAATTGCATTTAATGAATAAATTATGAGTCAGGCTCAAAATGTTTGACAGGGATTAGTGACATTGCGTACCCGAACAGCCGCCAAACTAAAGTCTGAGGAATTGCAGATGCCGAGGATACAGTTTTCTAGCGAGTCAGAGACTCCAATTAGTGAAATTCCCCTCCCTAATTTCAAAGGGGCGAGCACGTGGAAGTGAGCCTGTGCTGGGTGGATGGCGCGGAGTCCAACCCTGAGAATAAATTGAATGCTGAGGTCGTCACGTCACTGCATGTCATCCTCCTAACCAGTACGGACACATTTCAGCCGCCCCTCCATTGTTCATTCACTCACAGCCTCAATTACTCATCCTCCGTACTGTACTAATTCATGTTCTCCAATTCCGTGTGATGAAAGTTTGGGTGATCCTCATTACTGGGCAGTACGTGAAGGTTACAGAGATCTCGATACTTTGATGGGGTCTTGGAAGGTCTTGGAAGTGCCATTCTCCAGATCTGAATTTTCTGAATAAACCTGAAAAACAAATTATTATAGTTATACTCTTTACTTCTATAATAAAGTGTTACTAAATCCAGGACCCTGCATTCACTATATCTGGTCTCCCTGGACCCCGCATTCACTATATCTGGTCTCCCTGGACCCCGCATTCACTATATCCCGGTCTCCCAGGACCCCGCATTCACTATATCCGCTCTCCCCGGACCCCGCATTCACTATATCCGCTCTCCCCGGACCCCGCATTCACTATATCCGCTCTCCCCGGACCCCGCATTCACTATATCCGCTCTCTCCGGACCCCGCATTCACTATATCCGCTCTCCCGGACCCCGCATTCACTATATCCGTTCTCCCCGGACCCCGCATTCACTATATCCGCTCTCCCCCGGACCCCGCATTCACTATATCCTCTCTCCGGACCCCGCATTCACTATATCCGCTCTCCCCGGACCCCGCATTCACTATATCCGCTCTCCCCGGACCCCGCATTCACTATATCCGCTCTCCCCGGACCCCGCATTCACTATATCCGCTCTCCCCGGACCCCGCATTCACTATATCCGCTCTCCCCGGACCCCGCATTCACTATATCCGCTCTCCCCGGACCCCGCATTCACTATATCCGCTCTCCCCGGACCCCGCATTCACTATATCCTCTCTCCCCGGACCCTGCATTCACTAAATCTGGTCTCCTCGGACCCCGCATTCACTATATCTGGTCTCCCCGGACCCCGCATTCACTATATCCGGTCTCCCCGGACCCCGCATTCACTATATCCGGTCTCCCCGGACCCCGCATTCACTATATCCGGTCTCCCCGGACCCCGCATTCACTATATCCGGTCTCCCCGGACCCCGCATTCACTATATCTGGTCTCCCCGGACCTCGCATTCACTATATCTGGTCTCCCCGGACCTCGTATTCACTATATCCGCTCTTCCCAGACCCCGCATTCACTATATCCGGTCTCCCCGGACCCCGCATTCACTATATCTGGTCTCCCCGGACCCCGCATTCACTATATCTGGTTTCCCCGGACCCCGCATTCACTATATCTGGTCTCCCCGGACCCCGCATTCACTATATCTGGTCTCCCCGGACCCCGCATTCACTATATCTGGTCTCCCCGGACCCCGCATTCACTATATCCGGTCTCCCCGGACCCTGCATTCACTATATCCGCTCTCCCCGGACCCCGCATTCACTATATCCGCTCTTCCTGGACCCCGCATTCACTATATGCGCTCTCCCCGGACCCCGCATTCACTATATATCCTCTCTCCCCGGACCCCGCATTCACTATATCCTCTCTCCCCGGACCCCGCATTCACTATATCCGCTCTCCCCGGACCCCGCATTCACTATATCCGCTCTCCCCGGACCCCGCATTCACTATATCCGCTCTCCCCGGACCCCGCATTCACTATATCCGCTCTTCCCGGACCCCGCTTTCACTATATCCGCTCTCCCTGGACCCCGCATTCACTATATCTGGTCTCCTCGGACCCCGCATTCACTATATCTGGTCTCCCCGGACCTCGTATTCACTATATCCGCTCTTCCCAGACCCCGCATTCACTATATCTGGTCTCCCCGGACCCCGCATTCACTATATCTGGTCTCCCCCGGACCCCGCATTCACTATATCTGGTCTCCCCGGACCCCGCATTCACTATATCTGGTCTCCCCGGACCCCGCATTCACTATATCTGGTTTCCCCGGACCCCGCATTCACTATATCTGGTCTCCCCGGACCCCACATTCACTATATCTGGTCTCCCCCGGACCCCGCATTCACTATATCCGCTCTCCCCGGACCCCGCATTCACTATATCCGCTCTCCCTGGACCCCGCATTCACTATATCCGCTCTCCCCGGACCCGGCATTCACTATATCTGGTCTCCCACAGTACACAGAACATGGAAATGCAATTATTTTAGTAAATATAAACTGCTAAATCCCTTTTCTCATCAGCAGTATATAGCAGTCTTATGAATTATATCAGTGTCCAACAAAGCAATGGTTAAATCTTGTAGTAGGAGTTTTCTTTCTGCTCTAGGAGGATGCAGGGCCCCTAACCTCTGTTTGGACAGCGCTGATTGGCCCTGTGCTGATCATGTGCACTCTCCCAAGAAAGAAAAAAAACCTCTGTAGCAATACACATAAAACTGAGCATGTGCAGAGTGACTCTACATGATACGTCTTATCAGATGAGAGGGGGACACTGAAAGAAGTGGAAGATCAGGGAAGTCAGGATCAAATGGCATTTTACACAGTGCAGAGGATTAACCCCTTAGGTTCCACAGTGAGTATAACCAGCATGTTTACTGCATCTGCAGACTGATTGTACTGTTGTGGGTTTGGTAACACTTTAAGTGAACCCTTGCTATGGGGCAAATTACAGATTTATTGTATATTAGAGTGAAGAAAGGAAAGTCCATTGGAAGCGTCGAGTTGCTGGAGTCACACGTTACACATGAGACCGCACATTTACAATAAAAAACCCAAACTTTAATTGAACAAGCTGAAGTTAGAAGCTGATTGGTCGCCATGCACGGCTGCACCAGATCCTGTGTGCTCCAGTTTTAGTAAATCTCTCCTAGTGTCTGTCCTCCTGGATCGCTGGTAGTGTACTCCCGGTCCTGGCTGTACATAGATAAGTCCACAAGGTTGCATGCACCTCAGTTTTAACTCATAGTGAGCCAGCAAATTTTGCAAAGTGTCCGAATTCCTTGAGTCCAGTTTTTAGTGTAGGCATCTTGTGGTGCCCTTATATACCTGTGTTTTGTATTGGGGAGGACGGTGCGCACTCTATAAGTGGCCTCTTGGCATTTAGGCGCACCCGCCGAGAGGCCGCATAAATATGCCTGCATCCGGTGGGAAGTAGTTAAAGACAAATGTTTGCACCACCTCAGTAACTTTTACTTTGATGATCATGACAGGTTCATTCTAGAGCCTGTAAGGGCTCATGTACCCGAGCAGCTGCTAAACTCGAGTTCAGTAGCTGCTGGCATTTTTTTTGCCAAGGCTCCTAGACTCAGCTCCATAAAGGCCTAGGTGTCCATGTACACACAGACTTCTAGCAGAGTTTAGGAGCTGCCGCGGTTAGGTGAGGTTAACCTCCCTCTCAATGCAGAAGAATCACGTTCAGGATAGAAACGTTTTGACCGCCGGTACCGCGATTGCTACGTTTTGCGTTTTCCCCCCGTGGTCAGGGTAGGCTCGTGTACATGGGGCCTGAGTGGTTAGCAGATTTTTTTTCCCATTATTTGAAGTCAATGAAGAAGCAGAGTTGCAGAGCATGATGGGAAGTGTAGTACAGGACAGGAGAGTGAGTGGTTCTGCTGGCACTAGTGGATATATAGAGGACATAGCTGGATCACGTCCGTCTTCTCCTCACCTGTGCTGCTGTAATGATGGGAAGTGTAGTACAGGACAGGAGAGTGAGTGGTTCTGCTGGCACTAGTGGATATATAGAGGACATAGCTGGATCACATCCGTCTTCTCCTCACCTGTGCTGCTGTAATGATGGATGGATGAGGAATGCATTATCTCACACCAGTCTCTGCATAAATCACTCCATTCACATCAATGCTACGACTTATTTACACAAGGAAACCTTAAAACCCCCATACATCCTGACCCGAAGCACCGGTGCCCTTCTCTCTAAATAGTTACAAATTCTGCTTCCTGTAGCAGTTCCTATCTGTGTACCGCTGCGGGCAGGAATTCCTTGTGATGTGCTGGCCTGGTACAGGATATAAACAGGAAGCGCAGAGCAGCGCTCAGCCCGCAGCACGCAATCCCCCGGACCTTCCTCGCAGGATTAGGCCGCCTTGTCCCCCTCTACATTTGCAAGCTCAGCAGGAAATTCCTCCACATTTCGCACTGTAAATCTGTGCGCGATCTGATCTTCTTACTAAACATCTGTTTGTGAGCAGTCTTCAGGAGGAAATCTCCGGTGCCAGAACAGGCCTTTGTGTTTGATGATGGGGAAGTCACGTATTAGAAGATGAGCTGAAATAAAAAAATAACACTGCTGGGCACTTTTACTGAGTGCAATGTGGATGTGAAGTCATTTCCCGGCTCCAAGACACAAACGCTGTATCATCCCTTCACATATCAAACATTCTTCTTCTGGATACATGGAGGTCCTAGCAATCAGGGGTGGTAAAAGTCAACTGTTGGAATAACTAGGAAAAAAAAATTGCTGCTAAATGTTTAGTTATCACTTCATTTTCAGAAATCTTCCCTGAATGTGTTGGGGAAAACATAATGACGTTTTTATAAGTCATTAATAGTTGTGATTCCTTTCCACCATGGGGCACAGTGATACCAACAGGGGTGTATTTAGGTTTTGTGCTGCCCTAAGCCCCAGGGGGGGGAAATAGAGGCTCACCACCACAACTCTCCTATTTTTAGATGTCTTCATTCCCACCGACAGCCCTCTGCTCCATCAGTGCTGCCTATATCACTCACCCGCCTCCCTTCCCGGAGTCTCATGTCCGCTCCCCCGGATCCCCTCATTTCACTGTTCCTCCTGCCGCCCAGCCCCGGTGCCCCTTGGAACCTCCTCATAAGTAGCGCCATCCGCTCCCGGTCACCGGCCCAACGTCACCACACAGGAACTGGTGGCTGAAGGCAGAGCACAGGGTGAGCAAGACAACCAGCGTCCCATCTTCCCCCCCAACAAAAATGCTGCCCAAGGCACACCCCTTGTTTGCCTCGTGCCTTCCCTTTTGGTCTATTGAATATATTAATATGACAGTATACTATGCTGCTCCCACAGTGCAGAGCGCTGTCACCCTAGGACAGTAAATATGTTTGATGTACTTTGGAACACAGTTTCATGGTAAATGTGAAGCCTTTCCCACATCTCGGACGTATGTGTCATATTTACATACAAACACGTGACTGTGCAGTCATAGAACTGACGCACACTACAGATAATCCCTAAGTGAGGGCATTCGTCTTGTTTTGTGTACCGGAGCAATCTTGTGTTTTAGGCTTACTTGTCCTTTAAGAAGCCATAATAAATAAAGATTTGTCTTTCACCTGTCACCCCCACACATGTGTACAGGCAGCATAGAGCTACACAGATGTCTCATTTCCTGTGTCAGACATGTTCAGTCACCCTATTACATGTCCACGTGAAGTTGTTTATCACTGAGTATTGAGTGTGATCCTCTGACATTCCGGATGATATAGACATTTCTGTTCAGCACCACACTGAACCAACGTTGGTCCTGTAAGGAGCTGATGTATTGGTATACAGCAAGGGTCTCCAAATTTTTCAAAGGGCCTGTATGCGGTCCTTCCGACTTTAGGAGGGCCGGATTAGGGCCAGTGAGGATAGAAAATGTCCTGGCCCCAGTATCAGTGAGAATAAACATGGCCTAAGGGTTGATGGTCAGTAGGAGGAGTAGTGCCCCATCATTGGTATTAGTGGGAAGAAAACACCATCATTGATTTCAATAGAAGGAGTGCTGCCCCTTTGTTGGTCTCAGTGGGAGGAATATTGCCCCATGGGCCGGATAAAGGGTAGCGAAGGCCCATATCTGGCCGCAGTTTGGAGACCTCTGGTATACAGGACCCTTATACATTACTAGGGTTAAAGTTGAGCATGCAGACAATGGGCCATGCAGGGTACATACTGTGATACATCAGGGGGGCTGTCAGTATGATAGAATAGTATGATAGAATCTGTTCCACCAGACAATGTTTTCCCAGTCCAGTGCTCATTGCCAATACCTTCCATGGTTTACTATGGATTGGGGAGATACCCTGTATGTTTGGTGGTTTGCTGTCATGGCTGGTGCCCCCAGATGTCTCCCACACTCGCCCAGCTGGGTCACCTTTCTGGTCAGATCATTCACCTACAAGACCGCTGCCTTCCCCAGCCCAATGCCCAGCCGTTTGTCAATACACACAAGTGTCCTCATGGCACCAATTATCTTTTACTTGTCTCAGCAACTGGTTTAGTGTAGGGATGGAAATGAGGGTGTGGAATACGTACGTACGCTCCTGCCGGTGTGGAATACGTACGTACGCTCCTGCCGGTGTGGAATATGTACGTACGCTCCTGCCGGTGTGGAATACGTACGTACGCTCCTGCCGGTGTGGAATACGTACGTACGCTCCTGCCGGTGTGGAATACGTACGTACGCTCCTGCCGGTGTGGAATACGTACGTACGCTCCTGCCGGTGTGGAATACGTACGTACGCTCCTGCCGGTGTGGAATACGTACGTACGCTCCTGCCGGTGTGGAATACGTACGTACGCTCCTGCCGGTGTGGAATACGTACGTACGCTCCTGCCGGTGTGGAATACGTACGTACGCTCCTGCCGGTGTGGAATTTGTACGTACGCTCCTGCCGGTGTGGAATACGTACGTACGCTCCTGCCGGT